CCGCGGCCTGGTTAGAAGTGTTTCCTAGGATGCGCTGCAGAGTCTCACGCTGCTTAGACGCTGGCTGGGAGCTCATGGAGGCGAGGGGCTGAAGCCGTCCCGGATTCTCCCCAGGTGTGCACATCCCTGGTAGGGAAGGGCCAGCTGCAGCTCCCGGACATGCTAGTGTCCTTGTGGAGGACTGGCGGTCATCCTCCCTGGGGTGGCCCTGGATGGCAGGTCCTCATGGGGTGGGGCCCCTGCGTTCACGACCACAGGAGGTAAGTATTCTCACAACTCATTCCTGCAGCCTCTTGGAGTGGCACTAAGGTGACAATGGGGACAGCAGGCGGCGTGCACAGAGGTGTCCTGCCAACTCTGAATTAAACACTATTATCACCTCCACTTTCCGATGTGGAAAAGGGGCCTGGAAGAGAAATAACCGGCCTTAGCGCAGCTAAGAAGGGGCCGGCCCTTCGCCAACGCCCCACAGGGCCTCTCTGTAAGGCACTGGCCGCAGGCAGACCCCGAGAATCCGCTCAGCTCAGCACCAACTCCGAGGAAGGAGGAAGCACAGATGCCAACGCCCAGAGTCTCTACAGGGAACGCGCGAGGTCAAGAGAGAGGAGGCGCGGAGAGGATTGCTCTCTCTGATGTTTCTAAGTGCCTCGGCCACGCAGACACAAAGATGTATGTGGGTTCAGGACACAGGTGGCTATTTGCATTTCATTATCTTTAAGCAGGACCGCGGCTGCAACCAGGGACGATGATGGAGCGAATCTGCTCACTGCGGAGGGAGCCCAAGGTGACACCAGCCTGTGACACTGTCACAGCATCACCAGTGAGCCAGGATGATGACTGGTAAGCAGGCAAATGAGGGAAGAGCATCGAGCCCCCAGGCCTCCCTGAGCGGACGTGGGGTGTTATCAGAAGCCCCTCCCCCTTTTCAATAGCACATCTGTGGCTGCTGGCTCGTCCTGGGGCCCGTCCACCAAGGGACGCCTCTGCAAAAGGCAGCCCCCCTGCTCCCGCCCCCTGGCCGAGCCCGTCTCACAGAAGGCCCCCACTTTTCCCATTTGATTCCGCTTTTCTCCGAGCACCTCTAGAAAAAGGCCTTGCGGCCAGAACATGACCGCTGACCTGAGCAGCCGTCCTCGCTGGTATTTTTATCAGCATCTTCCCTCCACTCTGCTGGCAGGACTCACTGTCACGTCAGGATGTTTGGCTTATAACTTGTCTGAAATATTTAACAGGCCTTCGTACTTCCCACGTGTCAGGGGACCCGGCAGGCCACGTGTCCTTGGTATCCCCCCAGCGGTTTCCCTGTGAGGGTGTCTTTCCAGCACTGAGTGCCCTGCCCTGCACCCCAAGAACCCCCCAGGAGAGACTGCTGCGGGTCGAGCACCCCCGAGTCCCCTTCTGAAAGGCAGACCTCTGAGGGAGGGAGCCGTGGAGGGCAGGACCACGTCTCACTCACTCTGCATCCCCGGAGCCCGCACGGTGTGCACGTGACGCTCATCCTAGGGGCTGAACCAGGGTTTGTGGAAGAAACCAATGACCTTTCCGTTTGCCGAGATCCATGACCACCAGCTCCAGAGTCAGCAGGCCGGGTAGCAACTGCAGAACTGCACCCCAGGGCCAAAGAGAACCCCAAAGCCCCCCAATTCTGCGGGTAGAATGACCATCTCTAATTCTCAAAGATTTGCAAGGAAGGAGATTTATCCTTCAGCCTCCTTTGTTTTTCCCTCTTATTGCTGCCTTTACAGACACTACCAAGGTTCTTTTTGTCCAGACTCCTGTCCACCTAAATTCTGCTTCCCTTTGTTTCTCTCCCACAGGAAATACCGAAACAGCAGCTCCCTTGCGCGCAGAGAACCGTCCCCCCGAAAAGAAGCTCGCAGACGGTAAAGAGACGGCGCGGAGGGCGGTCCTCAGGCCACTTGCCCTCCGCCGCGTTTACGGAAAGGACGCTGTTCGGGCAGAGGGCGCCGGGCTGTGGCGCTCCGCTCGGGAGCAGGGCAGGGGTGCCCGAAACTTGTGAAAGCGTCTGTTAAGTAAATCATTTACGTATTTTAAAACTTTCACTGTTCTTGGTAATAAATTCCTCTCGACCCACCTCTCCACCAACCACGAACTATGTCTCGCCCTGTGGGGGCAGGTGTGGGCGGGGATCAGCTACCAGGGCCACGTTCCAAGCCGCAAACCAAACCCGACCCACCCTCCCACCAGAACCTCCCTCGCTCTGCTGCCAGGACCCCCGGCATCCTTCCAGCCGAGCCAGAGGGCAGCAGATGACCTCACTCTTTGGAGTGAAAACGTGCTTTCTTATGTACTGAACATGTATCGCCTAATTTATTCTCACGAGACCCCGGAAGCAGGTACCATTATCATCATGCCTGCTTTACAGAGGAGGTGAGGGACCTGCACAGGGTCCGTGGCCAGTAAATGGCAGAGCAGGATTTGAACCTGGGCACTCTGGCCTGACTGCCACACGGATTGCTCTGTCCAGCCTCAGGGGCCGCCGCAGGGCAGGGGTTCAGGGCACTTTCCCCATCAGCTTCCCCTGCACAGGTGCACACCCGGCAGGCCTCCCGGGGAAGCAGTTCTGAGCACCTGCTGGTGTCTGGTAAGCGCTCCATAGGCCAATGGGACCCCTTCCCCAGCCACCTGCACCTCTGCCCCTCGGTTCAGATATCTGTTGGGCAAACAGCTTGAGGCGTGATGTGAGACACTGCACATGTCTGTGTTCATCAAATTAACGTCTGCACACCCATAAAATGGCTCACTCAAGATCATTACCGACCCTACATATACAACTCAGCAGATTGGTATCTAGAGAGTTCCGCCTGGCCGATTTTCTCTGTTCTTCCAGCTACTCCACGACTAAATGTTTCACAAAGCCATTTCCTCCCCGAAATATTTATGTTCTCAAACGTTTATTAGCCTCTCTATCATGATCAAGACTTTATGAGCACTCTATACCAACTATGAATTAAATACATAATTTCACATCCATCAAATTCCAGTTTGGTGCCGCATTTGTCTCTATTAGGCCACACGCTCGCCACGGGCGCCCGGCAGAAGACAGCTCAACGCGTCTGTCCAGGGGCAGCCGAAGTGGCTGACGTGTCGATCCGGAAGCAGCCCCGTGGGACTGGTGCCAACCGCCATCAGCGGCAGGGACGTTTCCATAGCTCACTGGCAGGGCTGGAGGATTTGGGAGCAAAGGGCAAAGGTCAGAAGGACACACCTCCACCCTCATTCCACCAACCAGGCGCCTCCAACCCACCCGTCCCTGGGAAAGGAGGGCCAGCATCTCAGGGTGAGTGAAAAAGACAGCTGAGACAAAAAGACTGCTCCTCCCTCTAAGGAGCTCACCTGCCTGGGGACCTTGGGGTCAGTCCTGTGGAAACACACAAGGAACAGTTCCCCCAGACGGCCCCGGGGTGCTGCCTGCCATAGTGCGCCCTTCACCTTCGCCTCCCCTGCCCCTGAACCTGGAGCCACTTTACATCGCATGAACTATCCATTTCACTTTGCAAATGAAGAAACTGAGGCTCTGAAAGGTGAAGTGACTAGAAAGAAGCGTGGCGGGTCCTGTCTCCGGGCCTTCACCCTGCCCCGACTGCCCCCCATGCAGCTCGGGATAATCACCCCACCCATGCCCTCCTCCCGTCCAGAGCAGGCTCCCAAATAGAGGGCAAGCTGGCCTGTCCGACCTGCTCCCTGTGCCGGCACACAGCACGTGCTCACTAAATGTCAGCTGCCACCGATTCAAACTCAGGTCTTTCTTTGACTCCAAGGCTCATGCCGTTAACACGAAACCTACCACTTCTAGAAAATGTCCTGGCAACGCCGGCCAGCAGTCGGTCCCCAGGGGAACCGAGCAGTCTGCTTCCAGTTGGAGCCCCATGTCCGTGCTCTTCCCAGGTGCACAGCTGTTCTCACAGAGGATGGACTGTCCAGGCACCAGGACAGGCAGCCTGAG